CGGTTTCTTATTTCCTTTCAGATGTAAATTTATGCGGAAAACAAAATCTATATTTTTTTCTACCAAACCATCAAACATGCAATAGAAAGAAAAGGATTGCTTTAATAGCCATATCCAGCAACAAATATTTATTTTTGTAAATATACCTTCTATACTATTATACGATTGTTTTGAAACAGGAAGAAATGTATCAACGGCGTTTAGGAAGCTTTCACCAATCCAATCTAAACCGTCACCGGAACTGTTGTTTCGTAGCATCTCTCGATCCGTCGTATTCGTAGGTTGCGATTCCTGCGCTGCGACCAACACGGGCAGAAAAAGCAACACGTATAATAGTAACATCTTCTAGCATCTGGAGTCCTTTTGTTGTCTCATATGCCTTTTTATAGCACACCCTACGATCACTTTTTCTTCTTGTATCGAGAACAGAAGTGCGCACGTATTTCGTTTTCTCAAACCGACCTGCTCGACAATAAAATGTTAACTGACATTCATGCTAGCCCGGGCCATTAGTTTATATACCGGGACCGTGAAAAGCTCAGAGGAGGAGGCTACCCATCTAACTTGGTACTGATGCGTGACGAAGGATCCAACGTCCAGTCCCGTACCTCCCGAGCTAGTCTAGCTCGATCATTGGATGCGCTGACTCGATTCTCGAGAACGAAGGATTTTCCTTGGTACATTTCGACCGGGGTAAGTGGATCGTTTTCTCCGTCAAATGACGTCGTCGTCGTCATTGTCCTCCGTTGTGAAACGTTTATTTATCAATTGAGTTCGTTTCACACTTGAGCAGTTGCGCCGTGAAGATGCGCTTTCAATCAAAGCGACCTACGGCTTGTTTATCGTTGAAAAGTAAACCAGGATTAATGCCAATTAAGTTGCGCCGTTCCAAAAGCGAATTTCAAATCGAGTCAGTTGTATTATCTATTGTTCGAATAATCGATAGCCAATTTAAAAAAATTACAGAGCACAATCAGGGAATTGGGATTGCATGAAATACAGAAATTGCACAAAATACAATCAAGGAACTTTAATAAATCATCTTCCGTATTAGAAAATTTTAATAAAGATTAGTATTTTTTATTTATTATGCGTTCTATGTAATTTCAATGCTCATCATTCATTGTAACAGAAAATCTGCTTGTTTTTAGAATGTTTCAATTAGTGGATAATGATTGCAAAACGAAAGATGTGTTTCCGTACTCATTATTCAGCAATGCGCTTTTTATCAAAAGAATAGCATTAGTAGAAAATAATGCTGCATGCTTGAGCGCGATAAATCGAAGTGGTAAAAAGAAGCCTTCTTGTACTAATTTTAACAATTGAAATGTTATTGGAGTCAATATAATTGGTGTCAAACTTTATTAAATAGATTTTTTGATTTTATTAAATATATTTATCATATAAATTATACTTATTGAATAAATTTATTTATAAATTTTAATATAGTCGATATTCTTTAAAAAATAATTTCGATTATACACAGAAAAAGTGTTATTAATCTGCATTCAGACTCACCTATAAATTGCGTGTGAGAACATAACTTTTTGTCTAACAAAAAGAAAAATATTTTTAGTCTTTTATACGTGTACCAATTTGTGATGCCGCTAAGTATCTTTTATAATTTTATACCGTTATACATATAAAAAAAAACTTACGAACAAAAATGTTTCATTGCTAATGACAGACTTCGCCTTTGCGAACTCTGCTATTCATCAAAATTAGGACTGTGGCTAGTAAACAGTAATAACAGTAATAATAGTTCCAGGTGAGTAAGTTTGACGGATGATATTTATTCTATTCGTAAAATTTGCAATAATTATTGTCTATCGACATATCAAAGAGATTATTTTATCCATCGCGAGAAACAACTGTGTCATTTTTTATTATCTTAAGAAAATGGCAATTAATAATTGCAACCGGATTCACTTTAATATTTATAATAATTATGATTAATTATAATTGCAATATATAAGTATGGTTATATTTTATCGGTCATAAAATTGCAATTAAGGATTAATATAAAAATCTATCGTTGACCCATAGCCGTTGAAAAATAACGGTAATACAACAATAGTGATTTAACAGGCGTAACGAAAAGCCAACAACGCACTTGTCTTCATTTTATCTTCCGGTGTCCTCTCTGCTCGTCGCGGAGAGCATCCATTTGTCATTTAGGATTCAAGTTTGTGAAGGAAAGTCAAATTATCCCTTACTTCCTTTCCGAGAATCCGAAGTAATACATCCAGGCACATGAATAAAACTACTGTACCGATATGTAGGTTGCCGTTTTTCATACACGAAGGACTCGACTAATGCGTTATATGTGGTATGATTCGCCTTCAAATAGCTATTCCGATAGCTTCAAGGGCGATAAACATTGTGCGCAGCTAATAACGTATGAAAAAACACTCTACTTTTTTTCGATGGATTGATATTCTTTATTCACGAGGCAAAATTAGAAACAATGCAGCCAAAAGGATAATTTCGAAATAACTGTTCGTAATCAGTGCGTGCAGATTTCCTACGATTGTAAATGGGTTTATTAATCGTGAAATGGCTCTCGACGTGTGAGATTATGCGAGAATGAAGAAAGTCGCAGAGAGAGTATATGTGATAATGGCTGTTAAACATCAATTTGTTCAACATGGTTCGTGTGACGCGTGATTTTTAGAGCAGATAAGATCAGAGCGAACGTGATGATTGCTGGAAAACGCTTTACAACGTGCTATTAATAACTCGATAAAATTGGAATGTTTCATGCCGTACAACACTTTGTCTCATCAATCTTATGCACGAACATCTTATCCACATTTCAAACGTTCCGTCTTAATTATGCACAGCAATTATGATTTCACCATTTTTTTTTTTTCGCAACTTAGCAAGACTCGAAGCGCATTATCATATGTCTATCATGCAAATGCCAAGTGAATTGATTTTACAGCGTTGATTTCGATGTCAAGTAATTTGTTTATCGGACATGTTAATCATAAATACTCGCCCCTCGACAAATGGCGCAGTTATTGTCACCGTTTTGTTTGAATTTACGCACACAATGCTGTTATCTTATAGAGCATTTTATGAAGCATCTTATAACGTTATCTTCAGATGCTCTCGATTCTGTCGTTAAAAAGAAGTAGAGAATCCATTAAACTACTTGACGTGCACATTAATGTCCTCATTACGTCGAAATATTGCATTATCTCGGGATATCGTGAATGGAAAGTGACCGTATAAGTGTCTATAAATATTTCCGAACCTATATACCTATATACGCATCTGGCGCGCATTAAATGCAACAAGAGAATATCCACAAGCTGCAAGGATCATTTAAAGCCGCCGCGGATTATTAGCGGCCCGGCGTGTTTGTTGGGCGTAACTAGAAAAATGGATCCTGTCGGAAGCAACAGCGATCATCATTTGCGATCTCCACGCGTTGTATACGCGTTGTGTACGTAGATTTCTAATTTCTTATCCCGCGGGTACAAACAAGATGCTCGCGTACTGACGGCTATTACGGCAGTATGCAGGATTCTACTGTGCACTTAGGCGTAACCACGTGCCTCGAGTATTTTAGATGGCTCGGATAAATATGTAGCAGAATGTAGGATGTAGTGCAGTCCGCGATGCTCTGTTAAGAGCGCAGGATGCTCCGACGAAAAAGGCAATCAATATCTCTATTTTAGAAATGTCTTTCGTGTTGTACCAGAATTGAGAAACTGGTGGAGTGAAACAAGAAAAGTGAAGCAGAACAATATAGTTTTTCCCAGACCGGATATCAATTAGCAAATATCTCAGACTAAAAAGAATAACGGTTACTTTAACGTTCAGGCAGATTTTTTTATTTAGCAGTGTAAATTAAATGATCTTTGAACAAAATTTAGATGTACTTTTGTGTATTTAATGTTCCACTAATTTAGAAATAATTGGGTTACTTTTTATCCAAATAAAAGATGCTGATTATTTTCTAAAATAATCTGATAATCTGAATGATAAATTTTAATGACATTATAAAATTTCTAAACTAATTTGTAAGTAACCCAAAATCATCTAGCATGAAAACATATAAAGACAGAAACGTTTTATCATAATCAAGAATCAAATCTGGCAGGTTTACAAACTTCCTTTTCTCGAGATAAAAATCGCTCGACGGAGATCGCAGCGATTAAACGAAACACGAAGCATTCTCGTCGCGAAGATTCATCGAGTTATCTTCGGCACGAATGTCTGCGCGGCGTAACTGAAAAAAATTCGCGTCCGTCGCGATACGACGGCGTCGTGTCCTGCAAGACGATTTCCTCCCTGCGACGCGCTCGTTCGCGTGCAAAGGCCACCACTCCCTTTCTCTTGCGCGGCGGGAAGCCCGCGGGAGCCTCTTTATCTGCGACAGTGCCGTCCGCGTACCGTTCTGCGATATGAACTTGACACATATATCGGTACTGACAATTTGGATCATAGTGTTTACCGCGTACGTATATATCGCTGCCTCGCCGGTCGGAGCTCATTTTTCACGGACTGCCGATTTTCCCGGCAACTGAAGCGTGCCCGACGTGGTATCCGCGCCGTCCGGTCGGTTTGTCGTCGAGGAATCAACGGCGGATTGGTTAGTACGCGGTTGCTCGTTGCACCGTTCATTTCCTCGTCCTGAGCCGTTCGCACTCGTCCTGAAACCGTGCACTACCCGCAGGTAGCGATTCTTGCGGATCCCGCATTCGGAGTACGACGACAGTAACAAAAGGCGGACACGAGCGATATAGAAGGTATGACGTGACAGCCGTGGCGGCTTATCTCTCGTGAACCACCGTCGATCCAGGAAATAAAAAAAAAGTGCTCGTCCCGTCCATGTTTATGCGTTTCGAGAAAACGTTCGCCGTGACCCGGACTTGCCATCGCCAGTGCGCAACGATGCCTCGACGATGAAATAGGGCTCCGGTAGAGCGAAGATCGTGGACAAATCGCGAGGTGGATTTCATCAGTGATTTTCCGGCGCGAGTCCGTTCTTCGCGAGGAAAGATGTTGTCGAGAGTCAGTCTGCTCACGATTCTGCTGATCCTGAACTGCGTCAGCCGCGCGATGGAGCACTCGAAATCGCCACAGGAAGAGAGAGCCGTCACTTCCGACAAGAAGGTCCTAAGGCATACGTACGTTAACGTCACGTTTGAGAATCTTGTTTCTTCAGCCAACAGTAGCATTGCCAAAGACCAGCTGACTAAGATGCACATTCAGGATGAACACAGTGCACATTCCAAGATTGGAGTGGAAGAACGAGGTAACTAAATCGAACGTAGCGTCGTAATGTTCAACGGCAGACGCGCTTTTATCTCATAAGGCAAGCGCTATAAAATATTATACAGACACGAAAAAAAAAAGTAATAGCAAGCATTACGTTTGAATTGTCGTTTTGATGAAATGTAATGAACAATACCGTTGTATAACGGCCTGCTTCGCATCATAACGTCTTCTATGAAATATGATACGCCAAATATTTTATTTCGGTACCACAGTGTATTTCTAATACGCTAATGAGTCGTATCGTACAACTCCAGCGCCGTTTGATATGCGTGCTAATGTCGTTTATGCTTGGTATAAATTCTCTAGTTATTTTAATTGTTATGAAAAATATTTAATTATTGTTAGTAAATCGTACATTACATTCTCATTAAATGTGTAAATTTGTAATATACATAAAACGGTAGGTAATATTACGTATTCCGTTAAATAATTCAGTGCTTTATAATTGAAATTTCGTTGCCAAAAATACAAAGACTTTTAATCGTGAAAATTTGTAGATCGACCGCGCGGTCGGAAACGGAGGATGGACCGTACGATGATGGCGTTACTAATGGCGTACAAGCTGAAATTTGTTGCTCTAATACCGACGCTGCTCGGAGGTTTGATCCTCCTCAAAGGAACGACGCTTCTCGCGGGATTCTTCTTCGCTTTATTCGCCGCTGTTCTTGGATTAAAAGGACACTAACGGCAAAGTCCGTGTTCGGGATTTTCGGAGGGAGAGAACGCATCAGAGTACACAAAGAAGTGAGAGAATTACATGACTTTATTTCGTAATAATTTACAATCAGATTAAACTTGTGTTAAACTAATAACGCTGTTATTCTTGAGAAAGTATGAACGCCTGTGTGCACAAAGTAACACTTAAGGCCGAATTTATAATCGCTTCTCGGGTCAAAACGTATATACCTTGTATACATCTCGTAGAATGCGTCGCAGTCGCCAAGTGTGCACTTTATTAACACGGTACATTAAGCCAAATGTGTTTAGAGGTCGAAAACACCTGAATTCGCATATTTTATAATTACGAAATGAAGTTGAACTGTTTCTTAAAAAAAAATGTAATATGTATATAAATATAAATATATGAGTTATTATAATAAATATTGGCAGGTGATGTAATTAGTACATGCTTACTCGCTACGCTTGTAATATTCAAATGTTTTTAGTCTTATTCTACTGAACACTCGATTTTAGTTGATACAGATACTCGTGTAAGTACTTGTCGCAAAGCTACACATTCCAAACTAAAGGTTATTTTATTAATCTATCGCAAAATAAATATCTCGCCGCCCACACGCGGCGGTATGATAAATAAATATAATTGTGTCATGTGCTGAGAAACGACTGCAAATTCGGCTAATAAATAACGATAAAGCTTACCATCTTTTTGCCCGACTTCGAGACTGATCGCGTTTCCGATTGCTGATACAAATAGCTGCAGACCGGCACCGTTAGAAACTTGCGTGCGTGAAAATTACTCTCTCGCTATCATTTCGCTGGATTATTTCTCGGAGCAGCCGGCAGTGGAGATATAAACATCTGTTGTGCAATTCTTTTTGTTTTATGTTCGCTCGACGCAGCTGTTAACGGAAAATCGCCACAATATCGTGGACCAGCAGTGAATACATTTTTCCATACTTTACAAAAAGTTAATCTCGTTGCATCAAATGAAATCGTTTATTTCAGCCAAAAATTCTACGATTATTTTCATATCAACAATCTTTCACGAGACGATCAGACTTTGAGAAAAAATTTACACGAACAAGACAGTTCGCCCACTCGAGAGAAAGAGAGAGAGAGAGAGAGAGAGAGATTTCTTTCTTATCTTTATTATTTCTACAAATTTTGTTTTCACTTTTTTTTGCTACAATATTAACATCATCGATACGAAATGTCCATTTTTACATCCTTCTTTCCTCATAATTTATATAATACGCATGAGTGATAATATTTGCGTAACATTTTGCGAATCATACATACATCGGAGCGTGAAATCTGTGTTTAAAATTCGTTAAAATGATTAAATCTATTTCGATGTCTCGAACTGTCTCTAATATCGCGTGTTATCGGTCTCCTTCGGATACAGGCGTTGCTCCCTTCCCCAATACCTGAAGATCTCCCGTTGCTTCCGTTCACACGACCGCTAATTGCTTAACGCTTCTGCCGCGCGCTGTACGCCAGGGTCTGAGCATACTCACGATCGGCATCCGTCATCGACGGAACAGGCGCGCTCACGTCTGCCTTCAAACTCCTGTCCCATCCGCCTCCGCCCTGCTGCCAGCCGCCGTGACCGTGGTCGTTATTCTTTTGGCTCAGCAGCTTCTTCAATCCGATGATGAGCGACAGCACCAAGGCGATCTTGCTGATGATGAGCGCCTTGCCGGCGAGCAAGAAGAGCACGCCCATAGCGATGGGGACCAGCGCGGCGAGTTTCATCGCCATCCCCATCATCATCATGCCCATCATCTTCTTCATCTTGCCGCGGCCCTCCTCGACGCTGCGTTTCAGCTCGCCGGAGGTTGTTTTCGGCAAGCTGATTTGCACATTGAAACTGTTCATCAGCGCGGCCACGCGCTCGAACAGAATTTCGTTGAGGATCTCGTCCGTGGCACTGCCGCTAGTCCTCGCCAGGGTCTTCTCCAGATCGGAGACTGTGCTCTTCGAGCTGTTCTCCGGCACAGACGCGACTTTGACCAGCTCGAGATTGTCGCTGACCGGCAGCGTCTGTATTCGACCGAGCCTCTCGAAGAAAGCGATCGCCTTCTTCTTCAAGCACGGCGACACGGCCATGTTGCGGTGCTCGCACTCCTCGTAGACGCGGTACAGGGCACGATATCCTCGATCGAGGAATCCGCCGTCCTCGTCGGCGCAGACAATTGCACTGCAGACTAACGATAGCAGCACACACTTGGACAAATTCTTAATCGCCGACATCCTGGATGCGGATGGCTTTCCGTCTCTCGGGCACTCGATCGGACAAAATTCGGGGATTAAATCACAGACACCTCGTTTCTTCACGCGAAATACGCGGCTCGAGATACGAAGTGACTAGTCGAAGGTACGAAAATGTCGCGCGCACCCACGACGAGCTGGATGATCCTCGACTAGAGAGAACTGGCAACAGGACCAAGTCCGCAGGCCGATATATACCAGCGAGGAAGCCGTCCTCCTAGATGCCATCCTTCGCGAAGGGGGTGAGGTATCTCTCGTATAAACAGACGAATGTGCCGGCGCACGTGACGACGCGACCTTACGTGTATGAGTGCAGATAATTCTCCTCTATCTCTTCTTCCTCCTCGTCGTCGCTCCTCTCGTCCTTTCATCCTCCTCTTTCTCTTTCGGCGCGCTAGACAGCTGCCACATCGCGGCGGGACGGAGGGCCGAGGTAAAAATTCTCATAGCCGCGCGAGAGCGCGCGCGCGCGCGCGCGCGGAGAGCATGTGACCCTTCCTGACACAGAGACCCACTCGCGTCTTGAGATCGAGACATCGCTTGAACGGCCTCCAAGCGATTCGTTCATTAAATTTCGCCGCTACGACGGCTACATACCCAGAAGAATGCAACATGTGTGTGTGTAGGTACGCGCATCTCCCGTGCGACATCACAGTGTGCGACCGCATCAGAGATTCGTATCTCGCGCGGGAGGAGAGGCAGCGCGCTTGTGAGACGCGAGACCAGAGGGGGAGTGCCGCTGTTTGCATTGGCAGCGTACCTGGCACCGTGATCTCGCTGACCCTAGCATAACGTGGGGATGCTAGAAACTGGTTCCAGGTTGCGGACAGCCCGTGACCTTCCTCTCTCGTGGGTTTTCCTACGGCGCGGATTGGGTGAGGATTATCGGATGGATGATCTACTTTCCCCCGCGTCGGTGGATCATTCTCATTACGCGATGTTCTATACGAACAATGGACCGATAATGTTTTCATATTGATGTTGAACATAAGCCAATTGCATCTCGAGCCGCTCTTCAGCCGATCGACTTTTTTTTTCTCATCCGGCGTTAATTGTCGGGACCAAAAAGTAACGATAAGTCCACATAAATGTGGAAACCGTGAAAATAAATGCAAATTTATGTTTTACTATTTATTCTTTCAGTTAGATAACTTTAACGAACAGATGCGTTTTATTCCAAATTTATTCATTGTTAAGTGCGTGAAGCGAGACGAATGAAACAGTAGCATGGTTGGTGGAGTATCCGACCTCGGATATGGTACTGCTTTGTTGCGCAACAGTAAATTTACAATTACACAGCGCATCACTTTTACATAAATTGCGCTTTGATTACATACGTAACACATTGCATCCCTCAGAGCACGTATCATACATAAACCAGTTGGCGTTCGTTTTCGGCGCAATAGAGATACGAGCGGAAATTACTGGCGAACGGACTGATATTACGAATGGAATGCTCAGCTATCTCTGCTAGCATGTAATTAGCTAATTTACTCAACTGCAGTTTAATCTTAACACATGCTGTGCGTGATTATGATTACATCAAGAGATTCAACTAGACGTTTTCATACCGATTTGCGATTATCAGAAGATAAATTACGTTGAAGTCGTAAATTCTAAGAAAAATTCAAGTTCTAGCTGGATTTTTCTACAAAGTAACTACTTGAAAAAACTGTCATTAAATGTGAGCGAGAACAAGCGCTCTGTATATTTTTATCTTGTTTTTCTTTACACAAACTGCAGAGGTGGAAAAATTCCGACGCACCCTTCGTGCATAAAATCACATTGCTTAGTTTCGCAGGAATTAAACATGTGGACCCACAACATGAATCGGGCCCAATGTATTCTATTTTCTTGTTCTATCATGGTTCGTTAAGAGCGTGAAGCTGAGCACGCGGTACACCGTCGACACACTCGATCGAGGTTAGCGCATCTCTAATGCGACAACAGCCAGCGATGCATCCTCCATGCTGTTACCTACTTCGCGATTATCCCATAGTCAGTGCCACGGTCCTACACAGACGGAGTTTAACTGTATTAATGCTCGTGCCACATTTGCTGAACGCGCGCAGTTATCTTCTCACGAACGGCGCGAGAAATGGATTCCGCCGCAATGGGCCTACGCACAGTTGCTCCGGTCGGGCTCAATTATTTTTCGTTATCTTCGGTATCGTTGAAATCTCGAGTCACAAAGACGACGAACTTTCGATTGTTCGCAAAAGTAGACAAGTAGGACGTTTCAGCGGGGACACTTATCTTAATGACATCGCATCAATTACCCCATTCATCTCTCAGTGAGTAATCTGCGGAAGTGCGCCGGAAGAATACAGCCCGTGCTGCTAGTAGATCATACGCACAATGCGATTTCTTGCGAATAAAATTGGCAATTGTAAGACAGGCTCCGTATTATCTATTTATCGTTGATTCTTAACCCAAAAGAAGTTTATAATTTAGAAAAAAAGAACAAAAAAAAACACTTGCGTAACACGCAGAAGCCCGATTACGGCAGAGCGCAGATTTCCGGAATAATAAAAGTGAGGCAATAGGTTAAACCGTCATGAGCGATTTCCTCGAGAGATATTTTAGACAAGAACAAGACGTTTCTGCCTGTTATTAGATTCAGGTCAACGATCAACAACAGGTGGTGCTGTCGATTCGCGCACAGAGGGTTCTGACCTAGCTCATTACCAGATCGTTCGCAAAAGCGTTAAATTAAATTTGACACGCTTCAATAGTAAACCAGAGAATTTATATTAATGCGTTTTATCAGAGTTCATTCAGCTATATAACTGCGAATAAATCATCCGACATAATTGCTCAAAATAAGCATTATTGAGCAAGAAGAGAGAAAAGAAACGATATAAAAAAAAAAATACAAATTTATAACAAATATAAAAAGATCTATAAAATAGTAATGTAAAATCGTTTTAGAGGAAATGGCTCTTTGAATTATGCCTTGCATTAACAGCGTGGATGTATACGGAATTTCAGGCGCCGCTTTAAGCCGCACTAAAGTGCGGAAGTTACATTCCTCATGCCATGTTAGGATGGGTATAGCCGGTAACCTTCGGAGGCTGTAACCCTGTGCATACTCCGAGTAGTGAATTGAGGATGCTCGATTGGCCCAGTGGCATACAAAACACTCGTCGAAGAAAAAACAGCATGCTTTTTAGGCCTTATTCTCCACTTTCTGGCGTGCAAGAATCGTGGGAGCTGGCACAAGTGAAAAGCAAGCTTCCTCATTCACTTGGTGACAATCTACTTACTTTATTAATTCAGCTCACGCGTGCGGCTAATATATTATTGCGGTAATAAAATCAGAGCAGTTTGCCATCGTAACGCAATGTCAATGATTTCTATTATCGCTTAGTGTGTTGCAACGTGCAGCATATGCGTTATTGAGAATAATACACGAGGAAATACAATGAAAATTATTTTCTTTGAATTAAAATACAATAGGAAAATTGTTGGAAAGTAAAATTATCATTAATTTGAGACAGCAGGAATCTTAATTAATTGCCGTACTTTTTTCTAACTTGTCCTATTGTATTAAAAATATAATTTCCGCATTCATGTTGAGATAATTTACAATTTTATGATTGCATAAAATTTTTTACGATTGATATAAAGTCAGAATTAATGGAAAAAATGGATTAATGATAAACATGTGTTGAACTAAAATTGCCATAAATACTATTTGAAAAATAACGAAAATATATATGTACGTGTGTAAAACAAATGGAGCATATCGATGAAGCCTAATCGTAAAAATTAGGGTGTGGAATAATTCTAATTTAACATTGCTCTCTACTTTCTTTAATAAATGTTTAATGTTATAACGTTTTATCGCCTGTCTGGTTAATATAACAAATAAATTGCCTTTTCCGCAAAAACCGCGGACTCGTAGCATTATGCGTGGTTGCATAAAAACAGCTATTCTGACCAACATATTCGTTGATGCCTGATGTTCGATTTCGATAAATTTGAAATTTCATCTACTTAATTTTCTCCTTGCTTAGTTTCTCTCTCATCACCTCTATTTGTTACAGTAAATATAGATCCGAATGTTCGTGGAATGTTCGTGTGGATTATATTCATGCTGCTCATCTGTCTACATATTCATTATTTTTATACATCGGGTGGATCAACACGACACGATGCGCATCGTTGAAATTTCATTTCTCTTACGTGCACTCTAATTAACATTATAGTAATTGCAGTCCTATGTATTGGTCATATATCCATCACATGCGTGCAAATACATACGGGAGTTTCGAAGCACCGGTTGGAATAATTTTACTCGCATGATGCGTTTTTCTATAGATGCATTCACGCTCTGTATGTCGTAACACCGCTTTATGCCGCTATTGCTACTAATTGCTAGCACCTATAAATATGACGAACTCCACAAAACGCCAGTCCTTGTCGAACATGCTTCGGCGGCTCTTCGCGTTTCTGATATTGGGCGGTTTCATCGCCTTTTGTTCTTGCGAACCTGTGAACAGGAAGCTTCTTCGGGAAGCTTCCGAAAAGTCAATTGAGTGTGTCGAAAATGAAGGTGATAAATCCTGTGGGACCAATAAAACGATCGATGTTTTACCATCGAATCAGGAGAATCAAACTTGGGTTACCAGCAAAATTAGACAAATATTTCTAGAAGACGACGATGGCATAGGTGAAGGTAAGTAATAGTCTGGCTTTTTAAATAAATGGATATATATCTCTATTTGTAATCCATCTAAATTATACACAGAAAAGAAATTTTTTAATAAAATATATTAATAATTTATATAAAAAAGTATATTGTTGCACAAAATTTTTATTTGAATACATTGTTTTTATTTGTGTATCAATGTATTAAGCAATTTTATAAGAAGCATTTTTCTATGGTGATATATTAATCTTATAATGTTCTTCTTTGTACAAAACTTTGTATAAAACAATATCATAAAACATATTGCATTTTTTATTACATTGTAAATTATTTTGAGAATTATTTTATTAATATAAAAAAATAATTAATGATTACTTACGTAACTTTTAACAATCATAAAGTATTAACAATATAAATTTTAAGTAGTAATTTAAGTAAATTGATTAAATTAAAACAGAATTTTTATATTGATAGTGAATTATGAAAAATTTCATTATACATTTTTGTTATAAATTTATAAGAAATTTTTTCAAATCTTGTATGTGTGACATTTTTGTGTATAATTTTAATTTAATTTATAATCTTAATAAGTTTGCTGAAGTAATTAATTTAATGAAATTGGATAGTGAATTTAAACTATAATAAATGTATGATTAATAATTGCTGGTTTTATATTTTAGTTTCTGCCCGGAAGAAAAAAAAAGGTTACAGTAGATTATTATTTTTAATGATGGGAGCTATGAAAGCTGCATTGGTTTATGGAGTATTACATGGAGTTGCAGCACTTGCAGGAAAGGCAATATTGGTTGCCAAAATAGCATTAGCTGTTGCCATTGCTGCAATTTTGAAAAAGAATGGTACGTAGATACATCATGGTACGTAAATCAATTTACAAAAATGTAATCTGATTTTTTATATCCGAAATCCAAGTTTTTATGATGATAAAATTTAATAAGGTTCTTTCGTGATTGTAACAATCAAATACGTAGTACAAAGAACAATAGAGCCGCAGTTGAATGTACATTTTTATATTAAAAAAAATTCAATACAGACATACACACAATACATGCCTTGTTCAAGGGGGTATTCTCCTTTAGACAAATAAAAAAAATCGATTTTTATTGCATATTTTAAAAGTATAATACTTCAAAAATGTATTCCTGAAACGGCATACTTGGGTCTAGCAAAATAACGCAGAGCCGATTCGAGTGAACGCCTTTCAAGTAGTTGAATAAATTGCACGCAATTTAAATGCATTTGAAATCATGTTTTTCAAACTGGCTTCCATAATATCTCAAGACTGAGTAATTCGATCGACTTCCCGTTTTACAGATATACAAAATAGATATCCAGTTCTAGTTGATGCTAAGATAAAGTTAATATTTTTAATATTTCGATTTTTTAAGGGTTCCCAAAATTGAAAAAATTGATCAAAAAATCGAATTTTTTTAAATTACGTCATTTTGCAACAAATAACTTTATATTCTTTATTTTGATACGGGCGATAGCCACAAGTATACAGATTAATAATTATTTTGATTTTTTTGTTTAAAAAAATTATAATGATCGCAATCATGGAAAGAATGAGAGCACAATTTTTTTAAGCATTGCATAAAATTATTTATTAATTAATAACTATTGCAAATAAAAATTGTGAAATTGTTCCAATGAGAATAATCAATTTGAAAAACATAAAAAAGCAAAAAAATTTATTGCCAGTTGTTCGTGCAGAAAACGTATATTGAAATGAAGTCAAACATTTTAGCCTGTCAGGCTTTTTTCAATCAATAATAATACTTGAATGCACGCAATTTTTCGACATACAATATTATGAGATTATTAAATAGACTGCACGGAATATATGTGCAAAATTTCAAAGTTCTATGTTTTTTTGTAGTGTAATTCTATAGTTTTTTCAAAAAAATTCCCAAAAATCATCTATAATACGACGTTTTAAAGAAGAATATGCTGAATTTCCCGAGAATTAACTATTTGAATGTCAAGAAGAGCAATTGCGCTTTTTCTGTTTCGTGTCGAAAACTCTCGTGCTGACGAGCGTGCTACAGTAGACCCACTGATTTTTAGAAAGTTAAATTAATGTTTTAATGATATGAGAAATAGAGATTACATTAAATTGTACAATCGTTTTATAGGAATCATCGTCAAATATTAAATTAACTAATAAGACAAAAGAAGGAAGTGTGTGGGTGGTGTGTGTGTGTGTGTGTGTGTGTGTGTGTGTGTGTGTGTGTGTGTGCGTGCGATAGTGCTTGTCGGCATTTTTGCACACATTTTTGCAATTGCCTTCGGTAAATCGATAATCATAATGGGTTGTATAATAAGTAATTTTTATTTTATCTTCCAATAAATGGTGTTATCGTTTTTAAGCACACTTTTATGCAACATGAAAAAATCGTAATACGGGCGAAACTTTATTCCAACTTCAGCAAACAATTATTTAATTTACGTATTAATAAAACTGTGCTTTGCCCAACAAAGAAAGTAAAATTATTTTAAAAATCCGAAATTATTTATTACACAACCCAATAAAATCACTGCTTAACTCAGTATTAAGAAAATTACATAGCTCAAATGGTTAGTAATAACGGAATCATATAACTATTTCAATTTTTTCATAAATATATGAAGCAATCATGAATACTAAAAATAGATATTACGAAAAATAAACAAATCCAAATTATGAATTTATAAAAAATAAAATTTGTTAAATTTTGTTTTATCCACAGTTTTACATGCTACAGTTTATAAGACACATTTACAATCTTTTCAATATCAATGCATTTCATAATTGCTTCAAATCTGATATATATTCTGTAAATATGTTGATCATAAAAACTTGGAAAATTATTTTTTTAAATAATATATAATTCAAAGGCATTGTGTTTCAAATAAAATACTTTACTCAATTAAGCTATTTTTTCAGATCATCAAGAAAAAGTCTCTTATGAAATAGTGAAACATCCACAAACTAGCTACATACAAACTCATAGTTCAAGCGTCGATTACGATCACCGTAGTGATTATGGAGATGAACATTATGATCGAAATGAGCACTCTGATCGGAATGATCATTATGATCGGAATGATCACTATGATCGGAATGATCACTATGATCGGAATGATCACTATAATCGAAATAGTGTTACGGATTATGAACATCGAAAGCGACGACGCATTCTTCGATAGAAATAGATTTTAAGTATTTAATAACTATCGAGCAATAAATAAAATATTAAGTTGTGTAATAAGTAATTTCAGATTTTAAAGATAAATCTGTCTACTTTTTTATAGAAAAAACCGCAGTTTAATTAAGATGTAAATTAAACATTTATAATATTTGTCGAAGTTGTAATCAACTTTTGCTTATATCATGACTTCTTTATGTTGCATAAAAGCGTAGTACTCAAAAACAAGAACATCATCTATTGGAAAATGCAAAGTTACTTATTATTCAACCTAATAAATGATACAGCTATTACTCATATAAAATTATTTATAAAGCTATTTATAAATTTTTCATAAAGTTTAATATTCACCAAAGTATTTGAAAAACGATAGAAGTTACCAATTTCAATATTGATGAAATAGCTTCAATTTAAGCAATATGTTGTAATAGAAAATTTGTTTGTACATCTAAAAACGTATCGATTATACCAATATAATTAGTTTATATGTCTCTACGTATGGATATATCATATAATAATGTATGACAATATAACTATTTATATAATATTTTTAAATAAACAATTTATTTTACGTTTGTTATATATATATTTGGCATTTTTTACAAATAATATATTATATTAAATTTATATAATATTAAAATTTATTTATGTATATTGATATATGTTTTATAAATATTTATGTATGAAATATATGAAATATAAAATAATATTAAAAAATATACAATTATCTTATTATTGATATTAATATTATTTAATATTATTAATATATTTATATTAAGTAATAACATTGCATTGTTTTATGAAATAATTATATTAAATGTAACAAAATAGTTACAAAATAGTTACAAATAGTGTAACAAATAATAACAAATACAATACATAATCGTATAATAAATGTATAACATTATGTAGTATATAACATAACTTAAGTGGAAACATAAATGTTTCCATCTTAGTTATATTTATATTCTAATTGAGGTGAATCAATGTTAACAAAAGGCAAAAAGATTCTTGAATTGACATAACATTTAAATAAAACATTTATTTTCTTATTTAACATCTTAATGAAATGTTGCCTCCGTAATTACGCTATTTATTTTTTGCAAAATAATATATTTGTTCAAATCACAGGAAACAAATTATTTGATCTTATCAATTAAACAATTAAACAAGTAAATAAATAATTATTACAAGAAAAACAATCAAGTTTTCGAATCATTAATAGATATGTTAGAAAAAAAACATTGAATGCGGTAACTCTATTGTAAAGCTTTTGAATTTTTGGTATGTGTTTAATATGAGATTCAGGTGGGTGGAACAACTTCCATTGCTCGTTGCCAGCCACCGTATCCGCCGCCACCATATCCACTGCCACCACCTCCGTGATGTTCCGATGCCGTCGCATAGATTACTTCATGTCCACCCCCGCCCGATGCGAGCTTTTTCAAGCCGACTATTGCGCTTAAAACCAGGGCCATTTTTGCTGTCAGCAATGCTGTTCCAGCAAGGAAAGCTATCTTTCCGTACGCTAATTGCGCCATCATACCTAAACAAATAATTTCATAAGAAAGACTGGAAGAATTGATTACATATTTTCTAATTACTACAATTCAGAGAAAATTTACTTGTCTCAAGCGCCAGAATAAGGAAGCAGATGAGATAAAAGCCATTTTTCAAACAATAGACAAAATTATTTTATTTTTATTACTAATTAAAAATATTTCACTGATAATATTGCTCAAGAAAAGTTTTATTGAATCAATTTTGAATCAATCAATGAAACTTTTTATCTTGATTATTAATTTCTTCTTATTTTTAGAGATACTCTTTCTATTAGAGTGTTCAAATATTAATATTTTATAGGAAAAACTTACCTGCCATCACGGCACCCGCTATTATTAGATATCCGTTTTTATTCTTTTTTTTCCTCCCTGTAAACATTACAAATTTGCATATTGTTAAATTCTAATTTTTTAAAAAGTATTTTGCGTACAGATTACATTTCATCCGATAATTTACATAATACTTTGATCGTGCATATAATATCTTGTTGATACAAAACAATATTAATTGTAAACTGTTTCGTATTATGATTTATATCACAGTAATTTAATCCGAAACATTCAATGTCCACTTTATGCAATTTATGAATAATAAATCCTAAAATGCTGATACCTTCAAAAGCGTTGCCCGGTATCGTCAGTTTCAAGCTTCTCGTTGACAGAAACTCGTAAAATTTGTTGTCCAATTTCTCATCGAGACTCAGCTCCGTGTCATTTTCTGCCATCGAGTGACTTCTCGCGACAGATGCAGCATCTTTGGTGATCGAAATGTAGTCATTGATTTTATACACGGTATCGTCCTGCGTCGCCGAGTCGAGGATCTCCAGGGCACGGCGCTTGAAGCAGTCGAAAGTATTCTTCTCGTTCGCGCACCGTTCGAACAGCTTCGTGTATTCACTTTTGGCGGTCACTAAATTGCATAATATCGCGAGGTGTACGAAACATAAGATCCAAACTGTCGATCGTCGCTTCTCCATTGCAATTGATCCACGTAAAACTCGTCGATTCTCTTCTTTCTGGGGTGTCTTGCAGCTATCTCTAGCACAAGTCTACCGCCGACTCTTCTTACGTTACGTTCTATCCTCTGATCAGCTGGTCAGCTCGGAAAACCACGCCGACTACTTGTAAGAATCTGTTGCATTGTGACTTATATAAGCGTCCATTTAGCCTCTCCTACCAACGCATTAAAAGTTCTTGGATACGTGCCCATACCTGATACACGCGCTGTTTAACGCCACAACAACGGAAGAAGAGACCCCTCAACCAAAACAATGTCGTACAGCCCCGTAAGTAAGTATCGCTTTGACCTGCTTGTCAAACGAGCCTTAAAACTTCGCCGTGCCAACCATCTTTAATAGCAACGTATCAGGATCACATTGGAATGCAGGTAGAGCAGACAATATTCTCCCAGACATGATTGCAAGTGCAAAACCAACGGAAACGGTTCAAGTTTTATCCATCAATTTGCATGCACGACTAACTTTGCGTGTTGCGGAAAAATATCGTGAGGCATTCTTTGTTTTTATTGCCGGCCGAAGTCAGTTATTCGTTTCGCTAGCTAAATGTTCAATATATAACGTGAAGCAATAAAAAACTTTAGTAGCTGCTAATAAAAATATTCTTCTATGCGTATCTTGCTGCATTTAACATATTTTATCATGAATCTTTTCCATCCATAAACCTTTTGTGGTCCAAATTAATTTCAACAAATAAGACAATATTAAGTATTTCGTTTTTACTTTAATGCTGTTGGATAAGACAAATGTAATAATTAACTATTGTTATTTAAGAAATTTTATGAAGATTAAAACGATAGTTTGTGAATTATAAGCATGTATTGTCTCATAAATTATTTGCAGAATTTAGCGCAGAATGTCATAAAACACCATGTTAAGTTCACCTTGACAGAGGAACGCAAAGGATGAAAATAAGATAATGAAACAAATAAGACTCAATAATTAAAGAAAAAGGTCGATTTCTAAATTTTTAATTATTGTAGGAACTGCCTGAATTAATTGTTAAATTAAAAAAGAAGGTCGCGAAATATCTCGACATCTAGCCATCAAAGAGATAGTAGACCGTTGTGTAGATAGACCGATTAACAATCAGTTTGGACGTTTGATAGTATTACACAGTCATCAATTATCTGTCCTTAGTGAAGCTTAAAAAATCAATGATATTTTGATTTCATTGATTATTATATTGTGCCGCACATTTGGTGTATAAAAATGTAGAAAAGAAATTCATTGAAATGTTGATGCGTAATGAAAGAAAAAACGTTCATTTATCACTCTGATGATGTACTGATTTAATTGTTAAATAACTCGATATATAAATTATCACAAATGTAATTTCTTACATGTGTAATGTAATAAGATAATCAAGGTCAAAGAACTTATTAACGTAGCACCTGAGATACTGTTAATCCGACACAGATTACAGTCCGTGACGAGCTACATTCGGAAAACAACTTGAGCAATTACACAGTAATGGACTTGATTAACGCTGTCCACTACGTTCAATGCATTTCAGTCTCGTGATTTCTTTCGAATGTAGGCTATTTGTCATAGTAGCGAAGTTCGCTCTTTCTGCAGTTCCGCATCATCTTGGTGAATTCCAGCCACGTCGGCATCGATTATTATATGTATACGAGGCCAAGTATTCATTATCCACTTCGCTACTTTAATGACACAGGAATAGTAATTATCAAGAAGAAAGCGTACGTATAAACGTAAGCTTTTGTCACGGTCCCATTATTGAATAATACTTTGTCAACAATATTACTATTTCTCGAATAGTATTTCCGTGAAGACCACTTTTTCCAGTCACTAGAAATATACATCCGTAAAAGTGTACTTTTAGACAAGTTTCTTTTATTAATACAATTTTTTAGGACATGCACATCGTCAATTAGGGTTATTAATTCGGTATTATTCTTTATTTTTCAGATAATATTTCTGCTATATATGTAGTTAATTAAAAATCCTGACTATCGTTCATATCTAATACGTAAAAATTTATTGGCAATGTACAAAATCGCAATGTGCAAAGAAATTAATTAAATTAATAATTAAATAGTGAATAATTAAATAATGAGATAGACAAAGACAATGAGTTTGCTTGAAAACATTTTTCATCAGCTTTTCATCAGCTGAAACGTGTGATATATCTTCAGCTTAATTGTCTTATGAGCACGTGATTGTGTATTCGCATGACCGTAAAAACACGGTAGTATTTCCCTTTACAAGTAAATGCGTTTCCCGGATGTTAACCATTGCCGTTCCTGGATGGTGTAAAGTGCAAGAGCGACGGAGAAAGAGAGAACTAGTACTGTTAGACGACCGAAAGAAAGAACGATGGGATAATGGACTGAGACTAATGGTACCGCCGAGTGAAAACGTCAGGATCTCGGTGACGATCCTTACTGGTGGACGGATACTTGAAACCGACAGTGAACTCTCATTATAAAGATAATTATTGCAGAATGCAGACGAAGGAACGTTCGTGAACCTCTCACAATAAAATACGTCCTCTTTCTCGATTCATTAGATTCGTTTCAAGACTCGCGAAAATTAGTGCTGCTGATAAAGTAATGTGACGCAATGAAATGGTTTTATGACGAAAGATACACAACGATAATAAATCAAGAGTTTAATATTAACAGGATAATATTATCTGAAAAAAAATTATGTCTGTGCTCGTTGTATAATTTTGAAGCGGATAGAAATAAAACCGGAGCAATAACACGTTTCTTGATGGATTTGAATTAGCTTTTACGAGATCACATGTTTAGTTATCTTAATGCGTAGCATGAAACGTAAGAATAATAAAACTAATATTTGTAAGTATACTATTTTACGGAAGCTGTTCCTAAATTATTCTACTTTTCTTTTAATAAAAATTGATTGGACGCTTCTCTATTTTCCGACTTTCTAATATTTCTCAAGGCATTCGCATTTATTACAATAACTTATTTACCAGTATTTACGTAAAATAATAATGACTTATGAATACTGCAAGTGCATTGATATTTTCGTAAAATGTGAGCTATATTATTAAAATTCCAGATGCTTAAAAATCTTATCTTAACACAAAACTTAATAGAATATGTGCTACACTTTAAAATAAATGGACGGGTGGATAGAAGCAATATTAGATCTATAATACAACAGATATCTAGTTTTCATTATGATTTCTCAATCTTTTTCACAGTATGCCATTAATTATCTTTAGCCCAAACAAAATTCTTAGCATTTTTTCTAACGTGCGCTGCATCATTATCGAAAATATCGACAACTTCCCTAATAACGTGCTGATCATAAGGCTTGAAATCGTGTAGCGTTTTATAAGGTTGCTGTGGGAAGTGATCATGATAGTATGCACCTGCCGGTACTTCATGTCCGTAAGCATGAAAGCCATTGAACCCGTTGGCCGCGTAAGGTGGCGCGGCGCTGGAGAAGAGTGTGTTCCATCCTAAAAGACCGCTCAGAAACAGTGCTATCTTTGTCAATATCAGGGCCTTTTTGGTCACAATCAGCAGGAAGCCGAACATAAGCGGAATTAGAGATGCCAGGTTGAATTTGAAACCCAAGAGAAACGGTAGTAATATGTGTCTGGTCAATTGCCTTCCTGAAATGATAGGATTTGACCTTGAAATTACAACCAAGTGCATAGCCTTGACCGTGCTGCCTACTGGAGGAAGTTCTTGAAACCGGTTGGTGAACGTAATGTCTTAAGCAAGGTAAGAACCCGAAGTGGTTTGAATCCATGCTAAAGTAACAAGAGTAACAAGTAACAAGTTGTTCCGTGTAACAAGCTGTAATTTTTTGAGACAAGTACTTTGTATTCTATCGATTACGCGTAATTACTCTTTTATTAAAAATAATTTACAACAATAACATGTAATTATTAAATTACATTTTTGTAGATATTTACACATTACAATATCAGAAAAATATTTGAGAAAAACTATCAGAAAAATACGTGCACATTTTTAAAAAAATTTTCTACGTCTAACTGATTTTCTATGCTCCATTTACAAAATTTATATATTATAATAGCAATACGCGGAGAAAATTTTATGTAAAAAATTCTTATGTACGGCAAATGTAGCCGCGGATCATGAAAGAATTATATAATAAAATATTTTACTATGTTTTTCACATAATGGCCATAGTATTTAAACTTACAATTCCTCTTGTCATAATAATTTTTTATATAAAATTTTCTCGGTGTAGTTATGTAAATAATACTAAAAAACTTTTTAGTTCGAAATATTTATATTTAAAAAAGTGGTATAACATTTTTGGGAAATACTTTCTACTTGATTCTATTGTAATGTTTCTATTGTTAATGTTTACCTGCGCCAACCTGTCTGTCGCCGTACGAAGGAATTCTCTCATCGAGAACAAATTCCAATATTCCGTTTCCGTTTAACATTGGTCCAACGCGCATCTGCAACCCCGGGTACAAATTGTCGAGATTCCACTTGATATTTCGACGTTCCATTAATCTGGCCGCAGCTGTCATAATATTTCCGAAATCCTTCGGATCGTAATCCAAGTCCAAAAGATCCCTGCCGTAGCTCTCTGCTCTCTCCAATCTGGCCTTTCCAAATTCCAAAGTGTCCTCCTCGTTCAATGATTGCAAAGTACTTAAAATACCTCGATTTACGCATTCAAATGTGCCGTGTTCTTTCTTCGACAGGCATGCGCCGAGAGCCTCGTTAAAGCCGTAAAAATGTCCGTTATCCGGGATGTCTTGTTCTTTCGGCTCCATAATCACTGTGATACTCGTAGATACAAGTACAAACAGACATAGGAAATGAAATTCTTTTTTCATCCTCGAATCACGGATTCCCCACCAATATATTCAAGCGAAACCAAATATAAAGAGAAAGCTGATAAAACTTGCAACAAACTGAACCGAATAATACAAATGGAAACTCTTGCACACAGCAGTTGAACTTATTCCATTCTGAGAATATTTCAGACATAAAACAGTTGGTCACATTATAAAATAATGTGCACTTAAGAAGCTTCTTAAAATTTTTTCACATTTTTAACCGTTTTAAGGATCAAGCGAGAGTTTTATTTTTAACGCACGGAGAAGATGCGAAACAATGAAGTTCTCGCAAAATACTGATCATCTTACACCCGCAATCACTCAGCTATATAGGCGACAAGGGGGCGTTCACACACGACAGAACAATTGGTTTCACTCCGTAGATTTTACAAGCAGCGAAAGTATATTCCGTTTGTATTTCGTGCGCGCGGCACACGGTCGATACACCGGATGCACCTAAAGGAGAGTAATTTCCGTTGGCCAAAGAATGGAGCGTCGGAAAGATCGTCAGATTAATGAGACAAGGCTGATAGTCGAGCAAGAAAAATCGGGGGCGTAAGTAGCGCGGATATAATTGCCGAATTTGTGTATCAGCGAATCCAGGGCAAGCATCTAAAGATATTCGATCCAGACACTTGGACGAGGCTGCCGGATATCAAGCTTTCGGATATTACTTAGCACGATTTAAAATTGTTTCCTTATTTCTAGCTCGCAATATCTTTGCAACTTGCTTACGTTAAACGCTTTAAGATCTTTTTTTTCAACTACAAATTATGTGTCTACAAATCACCGATTTGTAATATTTCGGACAAGTTTTAAGTTAATATAATTTTGTATCAGACAAAATTTTTCTCGCGCGAAGAAGAAAATTTGTATGGTAGCGGAATAAATATTCGGGAAGAAATAAAAGAAAATTGGGTTTTTTTAATATTATACAAAAATTACAATTTATTTATAAATAATGTGATAAGTTACATGATGATCCCAACGGGGTGATCGATATATAAATAATCATTGGATTAAATCTGGTGGTCTCGTGCGAGTACTGACTGCGAGTCGTTCCGCGTGCGAGAGACGCGGAGGACTCTGAAAGGATATCGCACGAGTGTGAGCAAGGGGGCGCGACTTCTGGCAGGTTCCACCGTTTCTGAGAGTCTTGAGATTCTCATAATCTCTGGATGCAGTCTTTGTCGGTAAAGTGATGAGTATCGTCGTGAAAAAAATCGTCGGAATGTACATCGAATTTTCTTTTTAGCATCGATGTAGCATCCCTGTCGGCTTCGGCGTCGTCGAGGGTCAATCGAGTCGTAATTGAATCCAGTCCGTGCAAAAATTCAGTAGCCGTCCGCGTCTAACAGTCGTTTGCTTGTCCGCGTAGGAGCGCGTTACAATCCGGTCGTCCATTGCGTCGGCGAGCGTCTTCGTTGTCGAGCTGAGCTTAGTCCGCGGATCCCTGAGAAGCTGAGCCACGCCACCCTCAGGTGATCGCCGGGTTAAGAGCGATCACTTTGGCGAATGAAGGTAGAGAGTTAAAGGGGAGAGAAGTTGTACATATAACATTGAGCTATTTAGAGGGCTTCTTGTACGCTTTGTACGCGAGGTCGGAAGCGGCCGCCGATCTCGCCCAGCCGTGGTGCACATCGTGGTGCACATCGTGTCCGTAGTCGTGGACGGGGTGCGCGACGACCTCGTAGCTCTGGTGCTTGTGAGCGAGCAGCTTCTGCAGGCCGATGATCAAGCTGATGATGAGAGCGATCTTGCCGATGACGAGGGCCTTGAAAGCGATCAGAGCCAAGGCACCGAGGGCGATCGGGATGAGGGCGGCGGCCTTCAATTTCAGGAGCAGCAGAATCGGCAGCAGGGATTTAACGATCTTCTTCTTTTTGCCACGAGCTGCAATGTAATTCCAAAGCGTGAACTTTCTCATATGCTTAAATAACTTCTGTGCAATTTGTGTAAAAACTTCTCCCACGTATATCTTGAATTTCAAATTGTTACATATTAATGTATTTAAGAAACATATGGAACTTTATAATTAAAAATTCAAAGATGCTTTTCGTTCAGATTGAACATTAATAAAATTTAATCTTACCTTCGTCGAAGGAGCGAGAAACTTCCTCGGGAATGCTCAATTCCATGGTGTGCGTGGATAAGAATTTACCGGCCCTGTCGACGAGGGCTTGATCAATTGCGGCCTCTTTGGCTTCGGCCTCAGCAGGTAAGGTGCTTTCAATGTCGTTGAGAGACCTTGCATTGTCAGCTCGGCTGAAAAGAAAGAATCTTATCATCCATTTGCATAAGCAATTCAAGATATCTTTTAAAGTCCGTTAACAGCTTTCTATGCTAATTTTACGAGAACCTGATGGTCAAGTTTCCAATAGAGAAAAGCGGGATTCGAATTACATCGTTAATCGAGTACAATGGTGAACAAAGTGAGTCAGGAATGAATTGCAAACCATCAATCGAATGCAAATGGCGAGTTCACGGATCTTCCTCGTTCCAATAATATTCAATTGCGAATACGAATCCCAAAATTATTCAAACAATTAATCAAAAAATGATTGATCGAGCAACAATCGCTTACGTCTCTCTCTCTCTCTCTATATATATATATATATATATATATATATATTACGCAGCCGATCTAACGCACTTTGATGTAATGAAAAAAAAATTCACTACACGAAAACCACCTGCTGCGTTTCTCACGTCCCAATTTCACTCGGTTTCGACTCTTGGCCGCCGTGAAACGTAGCCATCACTATCTCGAGCGAATCCTCACCGTCACCTTACCTGTTCTTCGCCTCCTCGGTCTGCACGATCTTGAATCCGTCGATAATTTCGATGTCGGCTGAGCGGGCGGCACGATCGACGAAGCGCAGGGCCTTCAGCTTGAGACACACCGCGATGCTCGACTCTTCGGAACAAGAGGCGTACACGTCGAGGGCCTCCTCGAGGATCGAGGGTGGCGGCGACGCCGCCGCGTCCTGCGACGCCGGCGCGGCGAGGCCGGATACCACGAAGAGTGCGCCAATTATCGCGAATCTCAACATCTTGACTATTTCGACTTTTCCGTACGACGGGCGGAACACCAGATTACTCCAACTCCTCGCAAACTTGTCTTCACTTCTCGCCCTTGCAGTCTTCTTCTGTCTCTCTTTTTTATTCCGTTCCTCGCACGTTGACGCTCGAACGAGCACGGCGATCGTATCGACACTGCCCGAAAGAATCACGATTGCTGCCTTTTATCCTCGTCGCGAAAGGGGCCCGCGTACGTTTTTGAAATTTTGATGGCCCCCACCGGGTTGGCCCCCGCCTGCCGCCGGGTTACATACC